ATAGAGAAGGGACTGCATTCATTTCTAGCAACGCATGGCTGATAGGGAAGGGACTGCGCTCATTTCTAGCAATGCATGGCTGATAGAGAACAGACTGTGTTCATTTCTGGCAATGCATGGCTTATAGAGAAGGGACTGCATTCATTTCTAGCAATGCATGGTTTATAGAGAAGGGACTGCGTTCATTTCTAGCAATGCATGGCTTATAGAGAAGGGACTGCGTTCATTTCTAGCAAGGCATGGCTGATAGAGAAGGGACTGCGTTCATTTTTCTGCAATGCATGGCTTATAGAGAGAGACTGCGTTCATTTCTAGCAATGCATGGCTGATAGAAGGGACTGCGTTCATTTCTAGCAATGCATGGCTGATAGAGAAGGGACTGCGTTCATTTCTGGCAATGCATGGCTGATAGGGAAGGGACTGCGCTCATTTCTAGCAAGGCATGGCTGATAGGGAAGGGACTGCGCTCATTTCTAGCAATGCATGGCTGATAGAGAAGGGACTGCGTTCATTTCTAGCAATGCATGGCTTATAGAGAAGGGACTGCGTTCATTTCTAGCAATGCATGGCTTATAGAGAGAGGACTGCGTTCATTTCTAGCAATGCATGGCTTATAGAGAAGGGACTGCGTTCATTTCTAGCAATGCATGGCTGATAGAGAAGGGACTGCGTTCATTTCTGGCAATGCATGGCTGATAGGTTAGGGACTGCGTTCATTTCTAGCAATGCATGGCTTATAGAGAAGGGACTGCGTTCATTTCTAGCAATGCATGGTTGATAGCTTAGGGACTGCGTTCATTTCTAGCAATGCATGGCTGATAGAGAAGGGACTGCGTTCATTTCTAGCAATGCATGGCTGATAGGTTAGGGACTGCGTTCATTTCTGGCAATGCATGGCTGATAGGTTAGGGACTGCGTTCATTTCTAGCATTGCATGTCTGATGGAGAGGGGACTCAATTCATTTCTAGGAATGTATGAAGTCTAGGAGACCTGTATGAGGGTGTAGGGCTAGGCTCACACTCGTGCATTTTGGGACCAAAAAAAACCCATGCATCGTCGCACTGAAAGTTGCACTTTTTTGCCAAGGTGCCTAGAAGAGAAACGCACAGGTGTGATCAGCCCCTAAAATCTGTATGTATGTGCCATACCTGTGGGATCCTGTGGAAGCAGAGAATCACTGCAGTAGGCACAATTGCTGCACTGCTACTACAGTGATTGCCATTAGCTTCTGGGTTCCATGCCAAGCAACTGCCCTACTGCATTGTGAGCATAGGAGGTTGCTGGCTTGGCATGGGTGCAATTCAGAGAACGCTTTGTATTTTCTCAATGAATGCAAGGTGTTCTCTGATTGGATCAGGTGGAGTTTGTGATATCCCCACCATGCCTCTCCATTTTGTCAAGTCCAAGAACACTTTGCATTCAATGAGAAAATGGATAGTGATCTCTGAATGGCACCTGTGCCAAGCAAGCAATCTGCGTTCACTAAACTATAGTGGTATAGTAGCGGTGTCTTATACAAGGATTTCCAGCTGCTAGAGCCAAGATTGATGCCCACCTGGCAGCCCGGGGGGGCCACATGCAACCTTTTGGCACTTTTTGTGTAGCCCTCGGGTCTCCTGCAGACACTAATCGGTGTTTCTCTCTTGCCCTGCTAATGACTTCCAGCAGACTCATGTAATATATCTCCAGTCTGACTGTCCCCTGAAGTGTGTCCCCAGTCTCCCAACAACTTCTATAGAATGTTCACGGTCTCTGAAACTGTCCTCTAGATTGTCTGCGGTCTCCGGCCATCTCCTCCTAGATTGTCTGCGGTCTCTGGCCATCTCCTCCTAGATTGTCTGCGGTCTCTGGCCATCTCCTCCTAGATTGGCCTCCTCTGGCCATCTCTCCTAGATTGGCTCTCTGGCCATCTCCTCCTAGATTGGCTGCGGTCTCTGGCCATCTCCTCCTAGATTGGCTGCGGCCTCTGGCCATCTCCTCCTAGATTGGCTGCGGCCTCTGGCCATCTCCTCCTAGATTGGCTGCGGCCTCTGGCCATCTCCTCCTAGATTGGCTGCGGCCTCCATGGCTGCGGCCTCTGGCCATCTCCTCCTAGATTGGCTGCGGCCTCTGGCCATCTCCTCCTAGATTGGCTGCGGCCTCTGGCCATCTCCTCCTAGATTGGCTGCGGCCTCTGGCCATCTCCTCCTAGATTGGCTGCGGCCTCTGGAATTCGTAATTTGCATTAAGGAGCTTTAGAAACAGTTCAACCCTTTCAGAAGGAAAGATTTATTACTAAAAGGTCAAAAGGGTGCAATAAAAATATTTACAGAAAAAAGATGTAACCAATATATATATATATATATATATATATATATATATATATATATATATATATATATATATATATATATATATATATATATATATAAAAATACACAGAGAACAACAGCACAGCAAAGAGATAACAGAAAGACGTTTAGGTAGATAAATACTTGCCAAAAAGCCTTGGGTTAAGCAGCTTCAAGTCTCTTGAGCCAAAAAGGATTTCTTGTCTCTACTGCTAGTTTTCGATGTTAAACGCAGGAGCCTCTGCTTTCTCTCTCACCCAACTCCAAGCTTAACAGCCTTTTTCTACAATCTCAGCGGGGTGTCTCCTTACAACAAAGAACCAATTGCCTTATTTGGGGAGGGAAGTGTAGGTGGAGACCTAAGTTACAACCAGAATCTCTCGTAGCTTATTTTTTGGCCCATAACTTTTCCTAGGTACATTTAACATCCCACCCGCAGGTAGATTAATATGCAGACGCATCTGCGGAATGGTTAGATATGAGACATGAAATATACACTTGAATGGTTCAAGAGATATACTTTTCTGCTTTTCTATGTATGCCAGCCACGGAGTGTGACATATCAAATGGGTTGTCTTATCGTGACCAATCTGAAGATATGCCTGGTTTTTATGTAAGTCTCTAATATTCCAAGATATGAGACATAGGGGGAAAATGGATTTTGAATGTGGGATCTAGTTTATTACTCCTCTGGAATGTCTTTGAACTCAGGGAAAGGCTTGGGTTATACTTTTACGATATGCCAGATTGCAGTTTCTTAGACAGCCAGGCACCCAGCTCCCTCGGGGGTTTTATAGCTCGGAGCTTCCTGCTGTGCTTTGGCTGCCTATGACCTTGGCCAACACACAGGCCACATGTCACTGTGGATGAACAGAGATGGAGGGGGGATGATGGGACAACATGGAGAATTCTTAAAAAAATGGAGGTCTGTGTCCGTCTCTGTGTGTATGATTGCTACACATCCTGGCTGCGGTCTTGTTGTATCCTGGCTGCGGTCTCTGGCCCTGCCTTGTATCCTGGCTGCGGTCTCTGGCCCTGCCTTGTATCCTGGCTGCGGTCTCTGGCCCTGCTTGTATCCTGGCTGCCTCTGGCCATTTCATCGCCTGTATTATTTCTGCAGTCTTAGAATATGTCCTGTTGTGTGTCTGCTATCTAACACTGAATAGTCACTGAATTTTATGTGTGGCCCTTTGGTGATGCTGGGGGCCGCTATATGAAGATAAGTGACCACTACTAGCTATGGCACTTACATTGGTCCAAGCTGGACCATTCTAACTATGTAAATTGTTACATTTACCCAGCGTTCACAGACACATTGACGTTGGGGCCGTCTGTCTTAGACTTCTGCACACCAAGCCTCTGTTTCACTTTTAGCCGATAATACCATTGTGCATTTTTTTCAACGATCAACAGCTGACTGGCTCTCATGTGAAGGCTGCCCCCCCCCTCCCCCTGCCTGCAGTGGGTCAACGACTCTAAAGGATTGCTCCTGTTGAGTGATGGCTCTTACGTCAATGTAGCTGGGAACACGGGGTGAATATTTCAAGGAGGACTGGAAGTAACAATGTTCTCTTTTTGATTCATGAGCAGATATTGTGTATCCTTTTTGTTGCTGAACTGTTGGGGTAACAAGCACTTGAGCGGGAACACGCAACAATGGCTCTTTGGAACCTCTGGGTGTTTGCATAATGGAGCGTCTCTGATTTTTGGAATCCTAAGGTGCTGTGGAAACAATCTGCTGATCTCTTAAAGCAGAACACAAAGCAAAATTTTTATTTTCCATTGTTCGTTTTGTCCAGGGGCGCAAGTTAAAACTACACCTACCCGATCCTTCGATCCTCAGAAAAACAGCGCTCCCCGACATCCAGCAGTGGACTGTTCCTGCCGTCCTCACATCCAGAGCGTGTCTGTGGGCGTGATGATGTCAGGAACAGTTCATTTACAAGACCACTAGCATGAGAGGGGCGAGGGGCAGGAGCGGCCGGCACCGGTCTTGTGCTGGGAGGAGCGATGGATTAGGTAATTATATCTCTGCTCTGCAATCCCCTAGACCAGGGGTGTCAATCTGGCAGCCCTCCAGCTGTTGTGAAACTACAAGTCCCATCGTGCCCCTGCCTTTGAGAGTCATGCTGGTAACGGTTAATCTTGCAATGCCTTATGGGACTTGTAGTTTGGCAACAGCTGGAGGTCTGCCAGTTTGACACCCATGCCCTAGACCACGGGTATCAAACTGGTGGCCCTCCAGCTGTTGCCAAACTACAAGTCCCATGAGCCATTACAAGATTGACAGTTACAAGCATGACAGCAGAGGCATGATGGGACTTGTAGTTTGGCAACAGCTGGAGGTCCGCCAGTTTGACCCCCCTGCCCTAGACAAAAACAAGCCGTTAACCCATGCAGTGCGGGTACAGCCCCACTGCATGGGAAAATAAAAATGTTGCCTGGAGTTCTTCTTTAAGCTGGCCATAGATGAATAAGTTCCCCCATCCACACAACTGATGTGAATGGAGGAATCCTCCCACTTGTGCTATTGTATTCTGACAGCTGGAACTCCTCCGCTATCCGAATACACTGATCAGCGCTGCAGCCAATTGGCTACATTCACAAATCCAATGTAAAATTTTGTTTGCTGCTTCTCTTTAATCTGACATTTTTTTTTTTTTATCCGTTCATGCAGGACAAATCTTGAAGCTCTTCAGAAGAAGTTAGAGGAGCTGGAACTAGATGAGCAGCAGAGGAAGCGCCTGGAGGTTTTTCTTACCCAGAAGCAGAAAGTCGGGGAGCTAAGAGATGACGACTTTGAGAAAGTCTCTGAACTTGGAGCGGGTAACGGTGGAGTGGTCTTCAAGGTTTCACACAAGCCCACCAGCTTAATCATGGCTAGAAAGGTAGGTCATTGAGGTTCTTTAACCACTTCATGTCCGGACACTTTCACCCCCTTCCAGTCCAGGCCAATTTTCAGCTTTCAGCGCTATCACACTTTGAATGACAATTGCGCAGTCATGCAACACTATTCCCATATGAATTTTTTAGCATTTTTTTGAGACAGATAAAGCTTTATTTTGGTGGTATTTATTCACCGCTGGGATTTTTATTTTTTTTGCTATGTAAATGAAAAAGTCCAAAAATTTTGAAAAAAGTGTTTTTCATATAAAATTATGCAAATAAATAATATTTCATCATAAATCTTAGCCAAAATGTATTCCGTTATATTTTTAGTAAAAAAAATAAATAACCCAAATTAGTTTATAACCAAAAATTATCATTTTTAAACCATTTTTTTTTTTTTTTTTTTTTACATTTTTATTTTATTTTATTTTTTTATATAATTTTTTTTTTTGTTTTTTTTACATACTGTCATCCTAGCAGTACAGTGTCACCATGGTGACTCTGTACTACTTGTGGGAGGTGATGAAGATTTTTTTTTTTTTTTTTTTTTACACCTATAAAGGCAGTAAAAACAATCGTTTCTCCTTCTCTCTGGCTGCACTCTTGCAGCCATTGAGAAATACTGTGAGAGCTGTGATTGGTCACAGCTTGACCCATGGTACAAGGCTGTTGTGAATAGCCTTGTACCATGTGACCTCGGTGATCATTCACAGATTTCACACGTAGTAAGCAATGATGTCAGAAGTGACATCTTGCTTACTACTCTGCATGTGATCACTGACTGGCCAATCGGTGATCACATGATCGGGACCTCGCACAGGGGTCCTGTACAGCGATCGGTGTTCCACTATGTCCGGAGGACACAGCGGGCACCTGATCACGGTGCTGGGTGCTCCCAGGGAGTGCGCACAAGCAGGGGGCGGAGAGGCCATTTATAAACGTCCACCCGACCCTGCACTGCCACCGTCCGGGACCGTTTATATACAACAGATTCATACAGTTGTGTTACAATAAAATACGTGCATTTTTATACAGAGCTAGCATTCATTCCCTCATACTGTCTTAAGGTAATCCTCCAGTTATCCTCTGCACAACAGCTTCAGACTAGAAAAGGGAAAATCGACACTTGGAGTCAATCAGTGCACATTTGTTAACAGGAAACCTGCAGACAGGAGGCCAGAGCTGACAAAGTAATTGGTGTGTTTCTGCTCCTTAATTGCCCAATCAGCAGGCTGCAGCTGATAGGGGACTCCACTATATTTCTTTTCGTTTGGTTAAAATAAAGGATCATTCTTCAGACTATGCTTTCTGGCAGAGGTTCAAGACTCACAAAAGGGGATGGAGAAAATTACGCCTACCGGCAGATAAGAAAGTTCACATAGGTGTCTTGCACTGTCTGGTTCTACTGCTGCCTATTGGACGAACCAAAGAAAAAAAAAAAAAAAAATCAATAGACCATCCAAGGAATAACCCATCCTAGCCAATACCCCTTTTTTTTTTTTTCTTTTTTTTTTCTTTTTTTGCTAGTTTCCTAGGAGGGACAATCTTTCTTTAGCTTTGCTGAGAAAAGTCTATTTTTTGCTTTTTTTTTTTTTTTTTTTTTTTTTACCACTACATTGCTGCTTGAACTGGTCTCTATATGCCACCTGTCCGGATTACCCATAGATAGACTGGACATTGTGGGGCCAGCGTGGAAGCTTTTACCGTTTTGGGTAAGAAGTTGGCTGCAGAGCAATTCCCAGGTCCGGAGCCATTGGCATTGCTGATCGGGCTGAGCAGTAGGCGCTACCTCATTATTATATGTAAATAAAAAGGCTACAGTGAGCGCTCCAAAGTGTCAGCAGCTGAACATTCAAGGAAAACACATAAAAAAGTCCCAAAGTGGATATGCAAATATAAAATGCAGCGCTGTGCGATATTGCTCTGGTATAGGTGACAGAAATATAGACATAAAACCAAACACGGAATATAGAATATATATCATAAATGGATAAAATGCAGTTCTGTAATGGTGCTCGCTGTTCTCCAGTGCAAATGATAGAAATGCGCACTAACCAGAAGCGTATTGATAATACGCATGTATATAGATAATCCTGAAGAATCCCCTCTCTGGTCAGAAGCTGGATAGGAGCTGGATGATGTGAAATGAAGCGCCCTCGTGTGGAGAAATTGAAGTCCCACAGGCCAGAGATATCCTTGCAAAGATGTGTGGAATGGATAATCCCTCTTCTCTGGAACTGGTGCAAGGGTCACTCTAAGGCTGCAAAAATGAGAAGCTCCTCACAGGAGACATAGGGAAGAACTCATAGTGTAGTATTTTAAATCTGCTTTATTATTCAAAAAAGCGTTGGTAAGTATCACAGTAGTGCCAGATACAAGTGAGTGACTGACCCTTCCAAAATCAAAGATGGCCGCCAGGCTTCCACCTGGCGCAGGCGGCGTGATGTCAACGACAACGCTCCACTGACGCGTCTCAGAAGAAGTGCGTGCGCACGAAACGCGTCAGTGGAGCCCAGGACGTCGTTGACATCACGCCGCCGGTGCCACGTGGAGGCCCGGCGGCCATCTTTGATTTTGGAAGGGTCAGTCACTCACTTGTATCTGGCACTACTGTGATACTTACCAACGCTTTTTTGAATAATAAAGCAGATTTAAAATACTACGCTACCTCATTATTGCACCACTGGGCACTAATTTCCCATTACCACCAGTTTTACTATGGAAGGGGTTCGTTCTGTCAGATTGGATGCTGACATCATCTGCTGGGTGAGGTATCATACGTTTTTGCTTTTTGCTGCCATTCAGCATTTTGACAGCGTTGTCCAACAGCTGCTCCTGCTTTGCAAGTGATTTGGGGAACTCCGGTCTCCATTCTGTTCCTACAGCCTATCTTCTGTGATCTTGGTCACCTCCAGCCTTCAGACCTTTATCTGTCACCAGCTGCCTGGGTTTGTACCTGAGGCATTGCCTTGTATCTTGAGCTTAGTGGCATCATTGCCTCACAGTTGCAACATGTCTATATAGGAAACAAAAAGAGGACGCAGGGGCCTAGTGCATTACCTTTAAAAATGAGATTTATTAATAAATAGCAAAATACTCACAAGAAAAATCAAATCAAATGGAAAGCACGTCAAAGGATGAAACGTGGTCCAAAAACCCCTGAAGGTGGTCTGGTGGGGGACTGTAGACCTCTAGATAGCTGGTGGCTATCGAGGTTGTACCTCTTCCTCAGAGCCAGAGTTTATGCAGGCTGTGTCCGGAGAGGACACCAGACCACTGGACCACCTTCAGGGGTTTTTAGACCACGTTTCATCCTTTGTGACTTGCTTTTCATTTTGATTTTATTTCCCTTGTGAGTATTTTACTATTAATTAATATATCTCATTTTTAAAGGTACTGCACTAGGCCCGTGCACCCTCTTTTTGTTTCACATGTACAGTTCTCTTTGGATTTCCCTGGTCCGTTGAGGGCAGCAAGGCTTGCATTCCTTTCTTGCACATGTGGGGATACTGACATTGTGGAGTCCACTGTCCAGCGCAGGAGTACATGCGTTCAGTTTCTTTTTTTCTTCTTTACACCATGTCTGTATCAAGACACCAAGGGGCCAGTCTCGCTGCAAGTGGGTGACCTGGCTCAATCTTTCCTAATGGTTCCAACAACTTTTATTCTGTACCTTCTGAGGGCACTGATTGTCTGCAATTTGAAGTCCTTTATTACCCAATGGTTACAGGGGCAATCTCCTTGGAGTCCCCCTTAGCTTCTTCAGATAGGGCCAAGTTTTAAGAGGCCTTTACTGCACTCCCTCAAGACTTTGTGGCCGAATTCACTCAATTCCTCATAGATCCTGACTGTAGAGGCTTGAAGCATGCTCCCTCACCTTTCCCAGTAGAGTCCATTTCTGATCTGATTGTCTGTCTGGAGTCCTTATTACCCTAAGGTGTTAGGGGCTATCTCATTGGAGTCACCCTTAGCTTCTTCAGGTGGGGCCAAGTTTTCAGAGGCCTTTACTGCAGTCCCACAAGACTTTGTGGCCAAGTTCACTCAATTCTTCATGTCTCCTGACTGTAGAGGTTCATAGCATTCTCCTTTCCCAGGAGTGTCCATTTCTAATCTCCTTGCTGCTCTAGAAGAGGTTGGGCTGCTGGTTGCAATGACCATCCCTGATTCACAGAGGTTTATTTACTAACACTGGAGGATGCAAAATCTGGTGCAATTCTGCATAGAAACCATTCAGCCTCCAGATTTTTATTGCCAAAGCTTAATTGAACAAGCTGAAGTTAAAAGCTGATTGGATACTATGACCAGCTGCACCAGATTCTGTGTGCACCAGTTTTTGGAAATAAAACCCATGGGCCCATTTCACACAAGGTGGACTCGTCATTAGATCCACATGCTTAGCTGGGGATATGCTCGCTGAGCAAGCAGATGATGGCTCTGTGTTGATTCCACTTTTGCAGAGTGGACACAGACCATGCCTGTCCGACTGCCATCTGATTAGCCAGATGGATGGTGAACGGATGCCCATCTGTCTGTTTTTTTAGCGGGCAGGATTGAATGCAGGTGGGTCCAAACAGACACATTTTCACGGTCCATTTACACCCGCCGCTCAATAGAGAACAGTGGAACGTCCGATCGGGTCCGCTTGAAAAACGGACAGGCGGGCCTGATTCGTCCGCTCATGTGAAAGGGGCCATAGTCTCCACAGTCCCTCTATGATGCTATTGGTTTTGAGGGTATAGTCTTCTGCTGTTTTTTTTTGCCTCACATCAGTGCATCATGTACTACTCTGCATTTGAAGGATCAGGCTTCTGTCTCCAGCCTTGGGTCTTTGGAGCCCCTGCGGTTGCAAAAAACCTTTCCACTACACCTGCTATGGAATTGTATTAAGGTCTCAGTGGGATTTGTCCGCTTCGGATTAGGCTGCTCTTCCTTAGTTGATTCACTGATTCATGAAATAGGCCTTGCTGGGACTGTTCTATGTTCTGGATTAATTGTGGAATAATCTTTGCTGTCCTAATAAGATTTGTGCCTTGTTCCATGGGTGCTATTGCTTGCTGGATCTGGGGAATCTGGACCATTTTCCGCCTGTGACTTTTGAGGTCAAGGATAGGCAGGACTTTTTTTTTTTTTTTTTTTTTGAGCAGTATTCCTCTTAGTGTTAGCCCAAGAGTTGCCTCTGACAATACGGATGAACGTGCCTAGCCTCTTTGTTGGCTCCATCAGGGTTGTAACCTGTCTCACCAGTTTATGGTTAGGTTCTAACTTTCATCTCCTACATATCATTGTTATGGTATTTCTTGTGCCCTTAATCCTCCAGCCATGCTGACTTTCTTAGATTGAATCCTGGATTCTCTGCTAGACTAGACATTGTTATTCCCTGATGAGTCTTGCAGTCTAGTCAACTGTCTGTCTGTTCCAACAATCTGTCAAGGTAAAGACCTTGTGTTGACCCTTATGGTGGCAAGTGAGTAGAATGCCAGGACCTTTCCACTTAGAGTGGCTGGTTTTGCCTTTAAAAGCATCTTTCCCCAATCCCTGTTCTGGTACCTGTTTCGACTGAGAACTTTTTCCTTTCCTTGTTAACTATGTTTGTTGGTTCTTTCCTCTCTAAATAGAAATGTGGTATTGTTCTGCCACTCGGTTGGTTCAGTTTGTCGAACATCTACTGTGGCCTGTGGTTCGGTGCTTGGTCTTGGGCATCTGAGTTATCCCTTCGGTTGAATTGCCAGTTTGCCCTTTCAGGAAGGGGGGTTTGGCCTCACCCACTGATTCAGGTGTTGGTCCTTCAGGCATTTTTTGGGTTTCAGGCAGTCCCTTGTCCCGTTGTTGTCGTTAAAACGTCCTGTATCCCTCAATGGACTCCCAAGAAAATACATTTACAGGGTGTGAAAAAATCTTGTTTAGCAGCTTGTTACATAATTCTGTAGTTTTTCATACACCAATCAGCCATAACATTATGACCACTGACAGGTAAAGTGAAAAACATTGATTATCTTGTTACAATAACATCTGAAAGTGGGTGAGATATATTGGGTAGCAACTGAACCTGTTGTCCCTGAAGTTGATGTGCTCAAAGCAGAAAAAATTGGCAAGCCTAAGGATTTGAGCAACTCTGACAAGGGCCAAATTGTAATGGCTAAATGACTGGGTCAGAGCAGCAGATGTTCTCAGTCTACAGAGGTCAGAACTGACCAAAGGTGGTCCAAAGAAAACCAACCAACTGGCGGCAGGCTCATAGTTGGCCAAGGCTCATTGATGCGCATGGGGAGTGAAGGCTGGCCTGTGCAGTTTGATCCAGAAGAACAGCTATGGGATCTCACATTGCTGAAAAAGCTAATGCTGCTTTTGATAGGTGTCAGAACACACAGAGCATTACATTCTGTTGCGTATGGGGCTATGTAGCCGCAGACCAGTCAGGGTGCCCATGCTGACCCGTGTCCACAGCCAGAAGTGCCTACAATCAGCATGTGAACATCAGAACTGGATCACAGAGCAATGGTATAAGATGGCTTGGTCTGATAAGTTCAAGAATGGTTTGAGAATCACAACGAGTCTGAGATGTTGACCTGGCCTACAAATTCTCCAGGTCTTAATTCAGTCGAGCATCTGTGGGATATGCTAGAAAAACCAATCCAATCCATGAAGGCTCCATCTCACGACTTCAGGACTTCAGGGATGTGCTACTGATGGCTTGGTGCCAGATACCACAGCACACCTTCCAAGTCCATGCCTTGCTGGGTTATGGTGGGTGGTCATGTTATGGCTGATTGGTGTATTTAATAAGGTTGAAAAAAAGACAAAAGTCCATCTAGTGCAACGAAAAAAAATGTTCATTTAAAAAAACAAACCGTATTGCAGGTCTTTTATTTCTAATCATTTCTTTCCTTACAGCTGATTCACCTGGAGATAAAACCTGCAATCCGTAGCCAGATTATCCGAGAACTGCAGGTTTTACATGAATGCAACTCCCCTTACATTGTGGGCTTCTATGGCGCTTTCTACAGTGATGGAGAGATCAGTATCTGCATGGAGCATATGGTGAGTTAAGAATAAGGACTGTGTGGGAATGACAGGTTTGGGAGTAGGGCTGTGAATAATGGAGGGGGGCCCATAATAGTGATGGATCAATTGGAATATAGGAGGACAGGAGCAGAGAACACATGCTTGGACACCACCTGGAACTGTTGGAGCTTTGCCCAGGTATTCAGCCATAGAAGAGTGCAAGGAAAGTTGCTACAGGGACCTTCCCCTAATACCGGGTAGCTTTTTTTTTTTTTTTTGGGGTGGCAACCTAATGTTAATGTAAATATTAACACAAATATATATATATATATATATATATATATATATAGCAAAATACATTCTTTTTTTTGGGGGGGGGGGGGTGGAATGCATACTTCTTGGTACATTGTAGAAAAGGTTGGGTTGGAGTGGTTGGAATAGGTTTATTGTGTGTTTCTGAAGATTTTGGCGGAATAATATTTTAATGACACTTTCAATTCCCTCAGGATGGTGGGTCACTCGATCAGGTATTGAAGAAAGCAGGAAAAATCCCAGAGAAAATTTTGGGAAAAGTCAGCATTGCAGTGAGTATATTGCATGTGTGTCCAAGCTGTGCAGACAGTGGATGAGTATCCTTGGGTCATAGATCCCAGGTGTAAAATGCTATGGAGGAAAGATCAGCTCTTGGCTGGTACTTGGAGGATTTTCCATATTCCTCCATCCCTTCTTGTTCACCCCCTCTTACCTATTGTGCAATATTGTCCTCATTTAAGATACTTGCCTGCCCAGTGGATCCAGTATTGTCCTGCTGCAGTCTGCTATTCAGGTGCTAGTGGGAAGAATAGTGCCCCATCATTGGTGTCAGTGGGAAGAATAGTGCCCCATCATTGGTGTCAGTGGGAAGAATAGTGCCCCATCATTGGTGTCAGTGGGAAGAATAGTGCCCCATCATTGGTGTCAGTGGGAAGAATAGTGCCCCATCATTGGTGTCAGTGGGAAGAATAGTGCCCCATCATTGGTATCAGTGGGAGGAATAGTGCCCCATCATTGGTGTCAGTGGGAGGAATAGTGCCCCATCATTGGTGTCAGTGGGAGGAATAGTGCCCCATCATTGGTGTCAGTGGGAAGAATAGTGCCCCATCATTGGTGTCAGTGGGAAGAATAGTGCCCCATCATTGGTGTCAGTGGGAAGAATAGTGCCCCATCATTGGTGTCAGTGGGAAGAATAGTGCCCCATCATTGGTGTCAGTGGGAAGAATCGTGCCCCATCATTGGTGTCAGTGGGAAGAATAGTGCCCCATCATTGGTGTCAGTGGGAAGAATAATACCCCATCATTGGTGTCAGTGGGAAGAATAGTGCCCTATCATTGGGATCAGTTGGATGAATAATGCCCCATCATTGGGGTCAGTGGGAGAAATAGTGCCCCATCATCGGGTGTCACAGGGAGGATTAGTGCCCCATCATTGGGGGTCACAGGGAGGAATAGTGCCCTATCATTGGGCATCACAGGGAGGAATAGTGCCCTATCATAGGGGGTCTGTGGGAAGAATAGTGCGGCATTGTTGGGGGTCTGTGGGAAGAATAGTGCGGCATTGTTGGGGGTCAGTGGGAAGAATAGTGCCGCATTGTTGGGGGTCCACAGGAAAAATAGTGCCCCATCGTTGGGGGGTCAGTGGGAAGAATAGTGCCCCATCAGTGGGAGGAATCGTGCCCCATCATTGGGGGTCTGTGGAAGGAATAGTGCCCCATCATTGGGGGCCAGTGGAAGGAATAGTGCCCCATCATTGGGGGCCAGTGGAAGGAATAGTGCCACATCATTGGGGGTCAGTGGAAGGAATAGTGCCACATCATTGGGGGTCAGTGCAAGGAATAGTGCCCCATCATTGGTATCAGTGGGAGGAATAGTGCCCCATCATTGGTGTCAGTGGGAGGAATAGTGCCCCATCATTGGTATCAGTGGAAGGAATAGTGCCCCAGCATTGGTATCAGTGGGAGGAATAGTGCCCCATCATTGGTATCAGTGGGAGGAATAGTGCCCCATCATTGGTGTCAGTGGGAGGAATAGTGCCCCATCATTGGTATCAGTGGGAGGAATAGTGCCCCATCATTGGTATCAGTGGAAGGAATAGTGCCACATCATTGGGGGTCAGTGGAAGGAATAGTGCCCCATCATTGGTATCAGTGGGAGGAATAGTGCCCCATCATTGGTGTCAGTGGGAGGAATAGTGCCCCATCATTGGTATCAGTGGAAGGAATAGTGCCCCAGCATTGGTGTCAGTGGGAGGAATAGTGCCCCATCATTGGTATCAGTGGGAGGAATAGTGCCCCAGCATTGGTGTCAGTGGGAGGAATAGTGCCCCATCATTGGTATCAGTGGGAGGAATAGTGCCCCAGCATTGGTGTCAGTGGGAGGAATAGTGTCCCATCATTGGTATCAGTGGGAGGAATAGTGCCCCATCATTGGTATCAGTGGGAGGAATAGTGTCCCATCATTGGTATCAGTGGAAGGAATAGTGTCCCATCATTGGTATCAGTGGAAGGAATAGTGTCCCATCATTGGTATCAGTGGGAGGAATAGTGCCCCATCATTGGTATCAGTGGGAGGAATAGTGCCCCATCATTGGGGGTCGACTGCATAAAAGCAAGCAAAGGCCACATCCGGCCGCTAGGCCGCAGTTTGGATACTGCTATCCTAGATTATTTCTACTTTTGTCCAATACCATCTTGGTAATGAAAATAAACAGTATACATTCTGTATGATTTTGGTTTTTTTGCTACTTTTCACTTTCACTTTTCGCATTTTTCCTGCATTATGTTGGGCTGAAAACTGAGCAGCCTCCCTTTGCCTCTAATTCTGAGGTTTTAGTAGCAGAAACAATTTCCCAAACAAGCAGTTACTTCCTACAATCATTCTCTACTGCTTGCTTATGATTGTTTTTAATGTTACCCTAAAAAGGCCTATTTGAGTTTATGAAGATGGACAACAAGGTTTAACCTCTTCCATACCAGACACTTTTACCCCCTTCCCTTCCAGGCCATTTTTCAGGTTTCAGCGCTCTCACACTTTGAATGACAATTGCGCGGTCATACAACATTGTACCTAAACTAAAATTTTATCATTTTCTTCACACAACTAGAGCTTTCTTTTGGTGGTATTTAATCACCGCTGGGGTTTTTATTTTTTGCTAAATTAACAAAAAAAGACCAAAAATTTTGAAAAAAAAACACATTTTTCTTTGTTTCTGTTATAAAAGTTTGCAAATAAATAATTGTTCTTCATAAATTTAGGCCAAAATGTGTTCTGCTACATGTCTTTGGTGAAAATAAGGATGTATTTTTTAGTTTGTAGGAAAGTTATAGCATTCACAAACTATGGTATAGATCTGAAAATTGATCAATCCTGAAGTACTGACGGCCAATCTAATTTGCGCAAACTGCGCATGCCCGGGAGGTTGCCATATGGTGTCCACCCGGAACGCTGAAGGATTTTGCCGGCTGCCAAACGGCCATTGGCCGGGTGGCTGATGGTTAAAGCAGAACTTCGGCCTCCCACACCTCGTGCATCTTTAGGTGCCACCATTATGACGCATGCGCAGATGTGCCCATGGGCTCTGCCCGCCTTCATATTTTAGCAGAGCCCTTCAGCACATCTGCATGCACAGAGGTGATTTTTCACATTGGGTAGGTTTCAGTCTTCCCTGGTAGTAGTCTTTTTCCATGTGCACAGAAAACCCCACGTGTACACGATTGGCTGGAGAAACTGGCGCATGCGCAGATGTTCTGCAGTACTTGAGGCTTGCAGCACTTCTGCGCAGGGGGCGGGGGGGAGACTTTCTTGCCTAAGCAAGAGATGTGGAGTTGCTGGTTTGCAGCACAAATTAAGTACTTTTTCCTTATGAAAAAATTGTTTTGTAAGAGGAGAGGGGGCAGTACAACATGACCTTCAGGGTGCAAGTCCGCTTTCAGATAGTAACGTGGTTTACTGGTTGGTAATAGATCCAGTAACTCCATACTGCTCAATTATTGTATATTACTGATGGGTTTGGTGATATTTCAGGAGAACATGATGTAAGGGAATATGTCCATATAGAATGGTATCTGCTAATGGGTCATTTTTCCTTAAAGCTGCAGCTTGGGGGGGTCGTCCTATTGATCCTGCCTCAGCACTATTGAGGAATTGACCTGGAATAGCTATGTAACCAAGGAAGGATGCTTAATAATTGTACTCAATGACTCGTGGCTGGGTAAGTGGCCCAGGATCACAATGACAGCTCTGGAGCTTGCTCTTTTAAAACCCTTGCCGGCATTGGCAATTTGTTATGTCGGTCTGTATGGGTTCCCTTTTAAGAAAGTTCTATGGCCACAGCATACACTTTCATTTTATAACATCAGCGTTGTAATAACAATGCAAATAGATATACTATTTTGCCAAAAGTATTGGCCCCGCCCTCCAAATCATTGGGTTCAGGTGTTCCAATCCCCTCCATGGACACAGGTGTATACAATCAAGCCCCTAGGCATGCAGACGGCTTCTACAAACATTGGTGAAAGAATGGGTCGCTCTCAGGAGCTCAGTGACTTCAAGCGTGGTCCCGTGATAGGTGGCCACCTGTGCATTAAGTCCATCCGTGACATATCCTGGCTACTAAATATTCCACGGTCAGCTGTTGGTGGGATTATAACAAAGTGGAAGCAACTGGGAACAGCAACTCAGCCACCAAGTGGTAGGCCACGTCACATGACAGAGCGGGGTCAGCGCATGCTGAAGCGCACAGTGCGCAGAAGTCACCAACTGTCTGCAGAGTCAATAGCTAAAGACCTCCAAACTTGGTGTGGCCTTCAGATGAGCCCAACAACAGTGCGTAGAGCTTCATGGAATGGGTTTCCATGGCCGAGCAGCTGCATCCAAGCCACTGGACTCTAGAGCAGTGGAGACGTGTTCTCTGGACTGACCAATCGCACTTCTCTGTCTGGCAATCTGATGGACGTGTCTGGGTTTGGCAGTTGTCAGGAGAACGGTACTTGCCTGACTGCATTGTGTCAAGTGTAAAGTTTGGTGGACGGGGGATTATGGTATGGGATTGTTTTTCAGGGGTTGGGCTTGGCCCCCTAGTTCCAGTAAAGGGAACTATTAAGGCGTCGGCATACCAAGACATTTTGGACAATTTCATGCTCCCAACTTTGTGGGTAGAGTTTGGGGATGGCCCCTTCCTGTTCCAACATGACTACGCGCTAGTGCACAAAGCAAGGTCCATAAAGACATGGAGGAGCCAGTTTGGGGTGGAGGAACATGACTGACCTGCACAGAGTCCTGACTTCAACCCCATAGAAGACCTTTGGGATGAATTAGAGCGGAGACTGCGAGCCAGGCCTCCTCCCCCGACATCAGTGCCTGACCTGACAAATGTGCTTCTGTAAGAATGGTCCAACCTTCCCATAGACACCCTCCTAAACCTTGTGGACGGCCTTCCCAGAAGAGTTGAAGCTGTTATAGCTGCAAAGGGCGGGGCCAACTCAATATTGAATGCAAAAAGAGGGGGGTTGTGAAAAGAGATTCACAAAGAAAGCGGCTACACATTATGAACAGAATGTGATACTCAGAAAAATTTCCAAAAATTATGCTTTATTACACATACAAATTTGACATATGGGCAATCGCCCTGGTTTACCATCACCTCAGTATGAGACAATACACACAGACCTAAAACCATATAAAATGACACCAAGACCGGTCTGAATGCATGTGCAACAAGGACAATGACTACAAGAGTCTAAAGTCCCTGTAGCACTGGCGCATAGGTGAACACTTCCCAAAGGAGGTGTATGCAAAAATGATACCATAGGTATACCATGAAACGTGTTATAAATGTGTAGATAATGCTACTACCAGAATGGTTATATCCCAAACAGGGAGTTTCAAAAAATTATACTATGGATATAGGTATCACATGTATGCAATACAGCAAGCACAGTATGCGTCAAAAAGAAGGCATGCCTCTAGGCCTATATGAGACAAAACATAAATGTCATATAAATAATGCAGTACATTCCTATGACGTCATACGTCAGATACGTCACTTCAGGTCATGCGCATTAGGTGGAACGCACGCTGACCTACAAGGAGGAAGCCATTTTCACATGCCATGAGGCAAGCCTAGGCAGCACAGGCGCCGAGAAGAGGCTGGAACCCGCGGTATATCGGCGGATGTCAGCGGTGGTTCCTTGGCCTCCCTGGCCTTGTATGGCAGTACCTATGAAGGACATCCTTTCCTCTCCTATTATCCATTGCACAGGTGGTGAGTGGACTGTTGCAGGACACTAGATATATGGTCCTATGTGACCTATATGACCTATATATCCTATATAGAGTGTAAGCTCTTTCAGTGACTTTCCACATATTGTATGTTTCACTACAGGATGGGGACATCATGGTGCTTTATATAGGAAACAAGATATACCACATGTATTTCAACAGGCAGAAGATCTATTGGGATGTGTCTTCTTTTTCTCACAGAAAGTGGTATGTAGTCCACATGAAGTGGTGAAGAAACCATTTCAAGCAGAGTGCTGCTTTATGCATCTATCCTTCCATCCTGGTAAAAAATGGGGCATATTCTTATTCAAGAGCCCTAGGAAACAGCTGGTAATATCACAGATGAATGGGCCCCAACCACTTGTGCCGGCATAGGAATGTACTGCATCATTTACATGACATTTATGTTTTGTCTCATATAGGCCTAGAGCAGGGGTCTGCAACCTTTAAGATATAAAGAGCCACTTGGACCCGTTTCCGAGAGGGAAAAAAAGACTGGGAGCCGCAAAACCATTGCAACATTTAAAACAAATCCGACACTGCATATATTGCAAAAAGCGCTCTGGTCATGAAGGGGGTTTAAGGGCCCAGTAAGCAAAGGGTTAATCAGGGCCACAGTGTATCGTCATAATCACAATCATAGCCTTAGGTCAGTGGTGGGCAACCTTTTCAACTGAGCCAAATCTTGCCAAAACCACGATTAAAATTTATTTTGAGAGCCACATTTTTAAAACTGAAAATACATCCCCCATATAGTAATTCATCCCCCCTATAGTAATTCATCCCCCATAGTAATTAATCCCCCATATAGTAATTCATCCCCCATATAGTAATTCATCCCCCCTATAGTAATTCATCCCCCCTATAGTAATTCATCCCCCATATAGTAATTCATCCCCCCTATAGTAATTCATTCCCATATTGTGTCAATTCACTTACCTGTACTCCGCGCGTTCCTCTCGCCGTGTTCCCGCGCAGTTCTGGTCTTCAGGGCAGACTGTGAGAGGAGAGGAGTTCGTCACGCTGCCCCGCCTACATCCTGACAGCCAATGTTTTGCCACGCTCCGTGGGCCGGATTATAAGGTCCGCCGGGCCGTAGTTTGCCCATTGCTAGGCTAGCTGCAGAGTCCTGACTTTTGGGGCGGCCGCCCGAGAGGAGGGAGGGGAGCGGGCGCCCGGCACACAGAAGAGCTGCATTAACCTCCCTGGCGGTATGATTCCTTCCGATTTTTTGTGCTGAAAGCGGTACCATTTTTTCGCATGGAAATAGTTTTTTTTATTGTAGGCTGTAATTTTTGGAAAATTTCCCCACAAATCATTATCACTCAATTCTGCAAGTGGTTCTGATTTACTATCGCTGTTCTCTAGCCGGTCTAAAACCGCTTTTGACCTAAAGGGACGCTTTTTGGACGCCATGGACTTTTCTAAGTTTCCAGGCAGAAAGAACAGACAAAATGCAGGCAGGGCGCCGGACAAAGCACTAGGGAAAATATGTATGTGAAATGGGATGAAACAGCAATGTTTTACTATTGAAAATTGAAAAAAAAAAAAAAGACATTTTTTAAATTTTTTAAATTTCCCGCCGCCGGCGGCGCCCGTACGTCCCGACGTCACGGGGACCGGAACACAGAAGCCGGATGCCGGCATCGGCCGGAGGAGATGGCCGGGGACGCTGCAGGGGACACATCGCGGGAACGAAGGACAAGGTAAGTGCTGCAGGGACCCCCAGAGCAGCGCCGCATGGTAAGCCCGAGTGTAGCTCGTGGTATAGAAATTCTACCACGAGCTACACTCGGGAAAACCGCCAGGGAGGTTAAAAGAGCCGCGGCTTGCCAACCACTGAGCTACGGCAACCCTATTGCCTGTCACCTGGTGGGCAGTGTACACCGGAGCCGCAGCAAAGGTGAAAAAGAGCCGCATGCGGCTCTGGAGCCGCGGGTTGCCGACACCCGGCCTAGAGGCATGCCTTCTTTTTGACGCATACTGTGCTTGCTGTATTGCATACATGTGATACCTATATCCATAGTATAATTTTTTGAAACTCCCTGTTTGGGATATAACCATTCTGGTAGTAGCATTATCTACACATTTATAACACGTTTCGTGGTATACCTATGGTATAATTTTTGCATACACCTCCTTTGGGAAGTGTTTCACCTATGCGCCAGTGCTACAGGGACTTTAGACTCTTGTAGTCATTGTCCTTGTTCCACATGCATTCAGACCGGTCTTGGTGTCATTTTATATGGTTTTTAGGTCTGTGTGTATTGTCTCATACTGAGGTGATGGTAAACCAGGGCGATTGCCCATATGTCAAATTTGTATGTGTAATAAAGCGTAATTTTTGGAAATTTTTCTGAGTATCACATTCTGTTCATAATAATGTAGCCGCTTTCTTTGTGAATCTCTGTTCACAACCCCCCTCTTTTTGCATGCCTTTTTTGGCTACTGAATGGAGACCATTTACTGGGTGATACGGTAATTTATTCAACAACCTCTTAATAACTATCTTTAACCAACTCAATATTGAACCCTACGGACTAAGACTGGGAGGGCCATTAAAGTTCATGTGCGTAGAAAGGCAGACGGCCCAATACTTTTGGCAATATTGTGTATATCTGACAGTCCTACAAAAGATTACTTTAAACATCTCCTTTCATGTTGTGAGACCTGCTGGTCTGCTGACCTGTCTTTTTTCCACATTGTCCTGGATTCCCAGCATGCTTTGCAGATTCTCCTCCATTTTTAAGGACTACATATCTCATGGTAAATTGCTGCTTGCAAGCAGGGATTCCTGTACTGACTCCGCCTCCTGAAACTCCTCCTCCTCTCAGAAGGCGGGCTCTGTGAAATGTGTGACACAGCAGTGCCTACCCACAGGGCACATGGTGACTACGTGTCACGGGTTTCCAGGAAAGAAATGTGTGGGATCTTCACAAAGTAAGTTTACAAACTTCAAGATGGTTCGGATGAATAGAGCAGACTAGAAAAAAATTGAAATGCAATTTGAAAGTGAATATGTGATTTGACGTTTTTGATCGTAGATACTTTTTAATGATGATTATGGTCTTTGTATGGTTATCTGGGGGGGAATATTATCAGGCGTGTACAAATGATCCATGTTTTTGTTTTGTACATAACAGGTGATTAAAGGCCTGACCTACCTGCGGGAGAAACACAAGATAATGCACCGAG